AACAAATTCCAGCCCAGACTACTATACCCTGCAAAACTCTCTTTCAAGTTTGATGGAGAAGTGAAATACTTCCATGACAAAGAACAACTAAAGAATTTCACAATGACAAAGCCAACCCTATACAGACTACTGAAAGATGTTCTAGAGAGGGACCAAAACGATCAGAACTGCATGAACGAGAACAGAAGGAACCCAATAAATAGGGCAAAAAATTAAACACAGGAGAAAAAAAAATAAACACCAGGTAAATAACATGTCAATAGTAAGTCAATGCATCTCAATTATAACCATTAATGTAAATGGACTGAATTCACAAATTAAAAGAAATAGACTGGCACAGTGGATTAGGAAACAAAATCCAACAATATGCTATATACAAGAAACACACATAATTTATAAAAAAATTCATAGGCTGAAAGTCAAAGGATGGAACACAATACTACATGCCCCAGCACCTCAGAAAAAAGCAGGGGTAGCAATCCTATTCTCAGACAATCTCAACTTCAAACCAAGAATGATCAAACGAAGTAAAGAAGGCTACCATATACTGGTTAGGGGAAAAATTAAAGAGGAAGAGGTAACACTCATAAATATGTATGTATCAAACACAGCAGCAGCCAACTATATAAGACTAATCTTAATGAACATGAAAAAATCGAATATCCAGTACCACAATCTTAACAGGAAATATTAACACCCCTTATCCCAAAAAGATAGATCAAGAAGACAAAAAATTAACAGACCTGAACCAGAGCTTGGAACAAATGGACTTATACATATACACATATACACAGTATTCCACCCAACCACAGCTGAATACACATTTTCTTCAGATGCACATGGGTCATTTACTAAAACAGACTACTTAACGTAGGTCATGTCCATAGGTCATGCTTCAGTATATGCAAGAAAACAGAAATCATCCCATGCATATTATCTGACCACAGTGCAATGAAACTGGAAATAAACAACAAAAGAATCGAGAAACACCCCTTAAACACATGGAAATTAAATGTCACCCTACTCAGCAATCAAGGGGTCACAGAAGAAATTAAACAAGAAATTGAACAATATCTACAATGACAGTTCAACCACAACTTATCGAAATGTATGGGATGCGATGAAAGCAGTTCTCAGAGGGAAATTTATAGCTGTGAACTCACACATTAGGAAAACAGAATGGGGACAAATAAACTCCCTAATGCTGTACCTAAAACATTTAGAAAAAGAAGAGCAAACCAAACCCAAAGCCCAAAGACGAGAAGAAATCATAAAGACTAGAGCAGAAATTAATTCAATTGAGACGAAGAAAACAGTTAAAAGAATTATTGAATCAAAAAGTTGGTCCTTTGAAAGATTAAATCAAATTGATAAGCCCCTAGCTAACCTCATCAAAAATAGGAAAGAAAAATTCAAATACAAGTAATAAGGAATGAAAAGGATGTAATTACCACACACTCAGTGGAAATTGAGAAGTTTATAAATAGCTACGTTGAGAATATTTACTCTCACAGAATAGAAGCAGATAAAATGGACAGATTTCTACAAAGGTACAAATTACCAAAACTGAATCAAGAAGATATAAAAACTCTCAACCCAATAACAGTCAATAAAATATGAAATATAATAAAAAACCTAACAATAAAGAAAATCCAGGTCCCGATGGAGTCACAGCAGAATTATACAAGAAGTTAACAGAAGATATAATCCCTATAGTCCTCAAACTATTCAATAAAATGGAAAAGGAAGCAATCCTCCCAAAAATCATTCCTCGAAACAAGTATTATACTGATACCAAAACCAGGGAAAGACACAATGTTTTTTCTTTTCTTTTTTTTTGTTTTTTGGTGGAACAAGGGATTGAACTCAGGCCCTTGTGCTTGCCAGGGAAGCACTTATTCCACTGAGCCATCGCCCCGGCCAGAAAGATGTAATTAAAAAATAGGCAAATAATTAAAAATATAGGCAAATAAAGACATAATTAAAAATTACAGGCAAATCTCCCTCATGAACATTGATGCAAAAATTCTCAATAAAATCTTAGCAAATAGAATACAGCAAATCATGAAGAAGATCATACACCATGACCAGGTAGGATTCTTCCAAGGAATACAAGGATGGTTCAATATACACAAATCTATAAATGTAATACAGTATATCAAAAGAGCAAAAACTAAAAACCACATGATCATCTCAACTGATACAGAAAACACTTTTGACAAAGTCCAACACTCACTCATGTTCAAAGTCCTACAGAAAATTGAAATAGAAGGCCTCTACTTCAATCAGATGAAAGCCATTTATGACAATCCAATGGCTACCATAATTCTAAATGTGAAAAACTGAAATGTTTTACTCTCAGATCTAGTACAAGACAAGGATGTCCTCTATCAACACTCCTATTCAATATAGTTCGGGAATCATTAGCTAGAGTCATTAGACAAGAGAGAGAAACAGAAGAAATAAGAATAGGTCAAGAAGAAGTTAAATGATCAATATTTGAAGAACAAGATACTTTACATGGAAGACCTAAAAAGCTTCACCAAGAAGCTACTAGAATTAATACACAAATTCAGTAGCATAGCAGCATACAAAGTCAATACCCAAAAGCCAATTGCATTCTTCTACACAGATAAAAAACACACTGAAGGGGAAATTAGAAAAACAATACCTTTTACAATAGCACTGAGGAAAATGAAGTATCTTGGAAGTAATCTAACTAAAGAAGTCAAAGTTCTTTGCAAGGAAAGTTA